ATTACACTCTTTCCTGTCATAGCCAAAGCAACGGACCTCATTATCCTCCTCCCAGGACGTCCAGAAACCCCTACAGAACCACAGCGGTGAGCCTTCAGAGGTCAGTTCATCACTCGGCTACGCCAGCTTCAGCACCAGCCCCCCCGCCAGCCCCCCCATCAGCCCCGCCAACTGCTCCATCGGATCGGTCGAAGACTACGGCCTCACTGGTACGACTGTCCTTTCTTTAGCATTTAATTCCCTCTTGCTGGTCTAGAGGACAAGATTTCTCAAATGTAATCCCCTACGACAAATAAAAAAAGACACGATTTGAGAAAACTGCTGACATGCAGTAAGAATATGGAGGTATAAAAGTGTCTAGTGTCTGAGTGAACAAATAATGGGAGCTTTGGGACAGATTCACTCTCTGGATGCTGTTTCTATAGGCATTTCAGCCAATGAGGTCACACGCTGGATAAAACAACCCGACCCCCTTTACGTCTTTTATTCAGACATGTTAATTTCAGCAGGAGGCCTCTCTCTTGATTGGCTCAGAGTGCTTGTGCCAACAACAGAGTGATTCCCGCTGCTTTGAGCGGCACTACTCTAAAAGTGTGACTAAATTACTCATCAAACCACCTTTTAATGGCTTGAACAGCATTTTAAAGTGCTGCTCAGCTACTCGGCACTGTATGAAACTGGCAGCGGGCATCAGAGCATGTGGGAATGTCCTTGGTCTGAATTGTTGGTAAAAATACTGCACTCAGAGAGCAATGCAGGGAGGTTCTGCACAAGGCCTGCTGCAAGCGCACCATCTCAGCAGACGTCATTGTTTTGGTAACGGGCGGTTTCACTGCCAAGGCCGCCACTTCCTGCCTGTCATTTCCTCAGCATCCACCTACGGCACTGCTGGCTGAGTGGGCAGTCGATGCCGTTTCCATGGCAATGTCATTCCTGGTACTGAGGTGGGGTAGTCAAGGTGACGCTGGTGTACTTCACAGTCCGTTGGTTTCGACTAATGCTGTGCACATGCTTGTCTGGCATCCTGAACCCCTGACACATGTGTTCAGAGAAAATGGGGAAAAGTTGGGAGGAGGGAGAGAGAGAATCTAATTATAAGAGTTACTGCTTATTCACTTTTGCCAAATTTGCTGTTTTTAGTTTGGATACGGTCGGTAACAGTGGGGAATGTTGCAATATCTACCTGTTAAGTGCATTTTTTCACCCTTCTTTACTTTCCTCATTCAGTCAGGCAGCATCCAAAATTAACACCCACCACTTAGTAAAAGTTAGTAAAAGTTGTACTGTTGGCAAGTCAATATTTGTGAGTTGGACAGTAAAAATATACTAAAAAACAACTTTTTCCATTAGTAAGATGACTAAAGATTTATTTTTCCTCCAGATGTGAAATAACTCTCATTAAACAAATTAATATGAGAAACTAAATAATGATGTGTCTTGACGTTTTTGCTACAGTTTCACTCAAAAAGATGGAGACTGACTCATCTCTGCAGTGAGTGACACAATTACTTGCATTATTTGTCACTAATATGCAAGGGAAAATTAATTAAATCACAATTCAGGTATTACAGGTATATATACAGTAGGGCTGTGCGATTTGGGGGAAAATATCAAATTTTTTGTAAATAAATTTTTTTGACTGATATTGCGATTGCGATTGCGATTTGATTTGCGATTTTACATTTGCAAAGTCAAGCTTCAGCTCAATATTGTCAATAATGTGCAGCACAGTATGGGTATCATTACCCTGCTGAAAAAAACAATAGAAACCATCACAGAAATTCGTATAGTTTCCATTAAACCATTACAAAATTAACCCTGAAGTCCATTAAATTTGTTATTGTGTTTTGGGAGGGGTTCTATTGTTTTT